GTACAGGTAGTATGCCACCTCCAAGGACATAGCTTGGATGTTGATGAGAGTTGAAGACTCTTTTTTTTTTTGTTTATGTTGATGTATTACATGTAAATTCAAGCCAAGGGCTTAATATGTATTGAGTTAGTACTCTTCTTTTTGTAACCAAGTGTTAACTTGGAGCTGTAAGCCTTTAGGGCATTTGCTTTTGTTGTTAACATGTAATACAGTTATGGAATTACTCTGATAAATAGAAATGGTTAGTTTATTTTATATCAATGCATGTCTAATGAGATGGGTTTTATCTATTGTTTTGAGGGCGTTACACTTTTACTCTCTACTTGCGATGGCGTGGTATGCCTACCATGATCTTCTGAGTGGCGAGGAGGCGGATTGCCTTTGCGCCCCTCTCCTGTTGCCACCCCTTTCCCTTTTATCTGGCGCTTCATCAATTCCATGTCCCCCACCATCTTCCTGATTAACTCGTCCTGCTTTTTTACCCGATCCTCTAAAACTTGAGGGTCGATCCTCCGCCTTTGCCTATCAGGACTTGATGAGTGACGGGGGTTGTTACCCCGCCTTCCGAGGGTTCTGTCGTTGGAGCTCTAAACCTGCCATGGGAGGGATGAAAGGCAAACCTTCGCGCCTCCCACCTCCTTTCGGGGTTTGTCCGTCAATGGCGGACTGCGGCAAATCTTCATTGTGCGTCATTGCGTCTACTGTAGCGAGGAAAACTTTGATCAAGAGGTTTTGTTCTTTCTGTGATTCCCACAGACGACGCCAATTGTACGAGCAAAAAATAATCTTCTCGTATAATCTTGTTGATCAAGTTCGCACTCCTCCAAACGTCGTTGCTTTACTCCCTGAAAACACAAACGTGAGCTAGCCGGCGGGTGTGTGCCGAATACCTCTCCGATGCCTAAGTCAGCAAAATAGACAAAAGCTCTGTGTATTCGAGAATCAAAATTGTGTTACCTCTCCATAGGTGATGTTGTGAGCTTTTGTAGGTTCCGCGTGGCACAATCCAAGTAGAACTCTTACTCCTCCATGTAGAGTCCTCCTAGGAATCACATTCCTGAAAGATAATGCTTATCATTCAACACCCCCCTCACTGCTTAAACCAAGTGAGATAGTTCTACCGCGCTTGGATGTCAATACGACCGAGATAACATGGCCATGTTAAAGCCACAGATTAGACCGAGCTCCAACTAGTTTGGTTCTTCCTTTCACTGCGCGTGCCTCACTCCAACTGGGCTGTTCATTTAATACCGAGCTAACCAAGTTTGGCGCTCCAATTCACAATGCCAAGCTAGCTAAGTTTTCATACGGTTGTACCTCGGTTGCCTGTTGAAACCACGTTATCCATAGCGTGCCTCGACCGAGCTATTCAACAGCAAGGCCCTGAGTAAAGACCCACAATACCTCGGCTCAGTCTGGTTTAACCGAGCTAACTACTGCCGCTCTGACCATGCCGACCGAGCTAACAACGAAGCTCCTTTGGACCGGGCTAACTTCAAGACCCTTTTACTCAGTCCTTACTGTGGCCCACAGAATGACCCATTACCCAGCTCGGCCCAATTTACACAGAAATTACTCTCTCAATATATAAACTTTTTTATTCTCATTATCATATTACTGATGCCTATGGTATCTTTTTTTGTTAAAAAATAATTCATAAAAAATTTCTTCTATAGCAAACTTTTACATGTTTCCTTGACTAAATGAGGGGCCACGAGGTTCTATTATGGTGAATATTGTGGTGTTTCAAACAAACCTATTTTTCTTTTGTTTTTGAATTGTTGAACTCACATGATATGTTTGATGTGCCCTTTCATAATTGACCATATGATTAAATTTGAAGCAAGCAAGGATTGGCTTATGAAATTCGATCATTATGTTTGTTGATAATAACTAATGTCAATTGATGAAACTTACCTCAAATATCTTATTATACAAGTTCATTTATACAAATATTTTTGGTATTTATAATAGGTTAGTTGGTGTTGTGACAATGCATTGAGGAAGTGCCATTTGGAATTTATAATTGTTTCTTGTTTGGTATGTATGATTTCTCTGTGTTACTCTTTGTTAGGTTTTTATAATTGCCAATTCCGTTTGACAAAACTCCTTTCAGTTGTAACCTTATTCGTTTTTTTGTTTCAGTAAGGATATGAGTGTTTAGATGCGTATCCAACCCGAATTGTGCCTATGTAGAGAAGTTTGTGATCTTGAACCTTTCATGTTTGCCACTTCGCTGACTATGTATAGGTATCAAGCTGTTTGATCGCTTGAGCGGTCATTTGTGTGCTCGAGCGATGAATAGGAACATCCAGTATCTCTGCCTGCAAACTGAACTTCTGGGAAGCAAGTTTTACCGCTCGAGCTGTGAATGTTGTGCTTGAGCGGTCGCCCTATATGTTTTGTATCACCTTTACTCACACCGCTCGAGTGGTGAAGTGTGTGCTCGAGCTGTCTTCCCAAATCTGTTTATTATAAAGTGTGTTGTTTGCTATTTTTAGGGTTGAAGCCGTCCAAATTCTAGGAGAGCAGAACTACGAAGGATTTTTATATTGGAAGGTATTTTTATAAGTGTTTCCTTGAGGATTTGAGAGTGATTGTTGGATCTACAAGTTTCATATTGGTATCATCAACGGGTTTATCTTTAATCTTTTATTCACAAAGAGAGAGGTGTTTTTCAGTGGATTCCAAGGAACTTGGGCCTGAAGCTTTGGTGGATTCCGGAGTGGCTCATCGTTGTGGATTCGACACCAACGTTGTGGATTCAACGTTGGGCAAGACAATTCTAAGGAGAAGAAGGTGGTGGAAGAGGCACATTGGGGTTCGTTCAATTTGGGCATGGATTTGCTAGGTAATTGAGGATACACATGTGTAATTCCTTTTTATCTTCTTAGTAGATTGTTTTGTGACTTTGGCCTGTAATTTTTTATCACAATTGGAGGCACTCTAATTGTGATTTTTTCAACGTTAAATCGTTGTGTCGATTTGTTATTGATTGTTTGATTGAGATTGAAATTCACTATTTAAAATTGAAACATAATCACGAATCAATATCTCGGGAGCTTTTAGATTTTTCACTCTTTAAGTAATATCTTCTTACCAAAATGCATATTTGGTATGAACTTTTTAGAAGATTGTAGAATTTTAAACATCTTTTATCTAGGGAATTGGTGACTTGCTATTTGTTTTTCTTGTTTGCTATGTGTTGATGTCATGGATGTTTGACACAATCTTTGTTAATATTTTCTCCGAAACTGTGGATTTAGAAAATGCTTTAGTGATAATATTGAAATTTTCCTTTGTTGCATTATTTGTTTTGTCACAAGTTTTCTTTTCTGTTATAGTTGATACCTGCTTAAACTAGGAGTTCTGTTGGAGGACCTGATGGGGGCTCTCAATTTATTTATGACTTCTCAGCACACGTCAATGTTAAGCGGTCCTCCAGAATCAGATATTACTGGATATAGATGTCATCCCTCTGCTAGAGCTCATTATGGTGAGCTAATTCTGTGTATGGCTCTACTGCTTTGAGTAGTGGTTAACAAATAGGTTGATTTTGCTTTGATTATTGTCTATTTGAAAACTAGGAAGAAAGCTAACAGTTGTCTATTTGAAAACTATGTGGTCAAAGATTACTGATTATTTGGTTAAGAGGATGTTGAATTGCCGTTATTCCCTTGATTTTTCTTTTTGTAGTTCATAGAGTTTTCTTGTTTTATAACCTGTGATTAGGTTGATAAGTTTTCTAAAAAAAGATTTGGTAATTTTCTTTTTTTCTTCAATGGGTTTTGCTCTGTTTACATTCTTAGCCCTTTTTGTGTGTGTGTGTGTGTGTGTGTGTGTGTGTGTGTGTGTGTGTGTGTGTGTGTGTTAGTTGTTACTTTTTCTTGGTTTGTGAACCTAACTGATCTTTTTGTTTTAATTGGTTTTGATGTAGGTGATGACTAATGGAAGTTTTAGGAGTGTATGGAAGAAGTTTGTACAAGGATTTTATATGGTGTGAAATCTGCTTACAAGTCAGATAGGCCTCAGCTAAATGTCTAAAAAGGTTGAATCAACTTGGGCCATGTTTGTTTGGGCGGACTGGATTAACATTCCCATGACTAATAGTCCTAGGACCACGAATCTGTTGGATTATGTATCCGATCTTAACTAATAGTCAAGCTTAAAATAATTAATCCCTACTTTAATTGTTTAACCAAACATCGGATTAATAATTTTATTGGACTATTAGTCCAATCCCAAGCTCATGTCCACCCAAACAAACATGACCTTACTATATAAGAATAGGTTCTTTATTTCATCACCCTCTGTTCCAAACCCACCCCTCCCCTTCCAATTTTCTTCCATTTTCAGCCTAAAACAATGGATAGGTTTCAAGACAATATTTGGCTTTGTAGGAATAATGGTCGCCCTATGATTTTTTTTTTCTTTTTCAAATGATCATTTTTTTTTTTTTTGGGTGAGAATTTTCGAATGATTTTTTGATTTGGTGGAATAATAGAATTTTCTTTTTAAACAAAAAGGCTAAAATTGGTATGATAAGGGTTTGGAAGTTCCCAAAAAAAAAAAAAAAATGTGGCATTTCTTGGAAGCGCCACTAAACGTTGGATATGACATCATTAGTTAATAGAGACGGAAAGAAGGTGATAGACGTTAGGATATTAGGATATTGCAACGTTTTTTATAATTGTCGTCGTAAGACATTATTGATGTTTTTGAAACGCTGTAAGCCTATCTGTGATGCAATTTAGAAATGCCGCCTTTTCTTATGGTAGTGTTTTTTCAGACCTAAGGCAGTGTTTTTGAACCACCGCTAAGAGCATGATTTCCTGCAGTGATACCACAGTTATACTATCTCTTTAGCAAAACCAAATTGTTGAAGTTATCATTCTCTGCGAGTATTAACAAAGTCTTTCCTTTGAAATATAGAGAGTTTCAGTGAGTACTTTCTAATAATATAAATGGGTCTAATAATATAAATGGGAGTCTATGCCATATACCAGGAACAACACAAGACAGAACGTGCCAATACACGATGAACCTGCCTGTACTCAAAAACTTTGCTACGTTAACCATACACTATATCTGTTCAATTAAAGAGCTCTCTTACTATAGACAACACGCAAATTGAATGACCATACATTATTTTTTAGTGAACAACGTACACAACAGAACCACTATAGCAGAGCAACAAAAGCAAGCCTAACTAGTAAAAGAAAATTGAGATGGACATGGAGGCACATCAACTTCAACAACTCCTTCAAGCATCTGGGTGACCTTCCTCATTGTAGGCCTCAGAGATGGATCTTCTTGAATACACCAAATGGCAACCATCAGAAATCTCTCCAGCCTCTTCCAGTCATTTAACGCTTCCATATCGTTTTCAACCAAAGTATCCAATTTTCCTTCCTGAAAGCAGTCACAAGCCCAATCAGTCAGAATTACTTTCTCTTCTTCACCAACCTCCAAATCGCTGACGCTTTTTCGACAAGAAATGATCTCCAGTAGCAACACACCATAGCTATAGACATCAACCTTTGCAGTGATTGGATTGCTATTGAACCACTCTGCAGCAACATACCCTTTTGTCCCTCTAATAGTAGCAGTATTGATCTTACTCTGATTCAACATCAGAAGTTTAGCCAACCCAAAGTCAGAAATCCGAGCATTGTAACAATCATCCAGAAGTATGTTCTGAGGCTTTATATCACAATGGATGATCTGGGTACTACATTCTTCATGTAGGTACACAAGTCCTCTGGCAATCCCCAATGCAATTTGGGTCCTTTGGTTCCAACTTGGCTTCGTTTTCCCAAAGAGAAAGCTTGCTAAAGTCCCATTGCTCATGAACTCGTACACTAACATCCGATGTTGTCCTTCGTCACAAAATCCGAGCAGTCGGACCAGATTCTTGTGATGTGTCTGCCCAATTACATTTACTTCAGTTTTGAATTCCTTCTCTTTCTCTTGAACCACCCTATCTAGTTTCTTCACTGCAACAACTCTGGAACCCATTTGTATCGCCCCTTTGTAAACAATACCAAAAGCTCCACTTCCCAGTTCTTCCTTGAAACCATTTGTAGCTTCTACAAGCTCTTTGTAAGTAAAACAACGAAGATTAGTCTCCACAGCACTGTGATTGCCATGATGACTTTCTATGCTTTTCTTGTGGTAGATGAGGAAAAAGCCCAAGCAAACAGCACCAATCAATACAAAATTGATGAACACAGAGCTACCCAATAGAACCGATCCAACGAGAATTAAGGTCCCCTGGTTCTTCTTTGTTTCTGGAACCGGAGGAGAAGGAAGAGTTCGAGGAGGAGGCTGTAATAGAAGAAGATTGCTTTTCCTAAACTTCATGAAAGCCTTACCATTAACAACACTGTCCTCTCTCCCATTTGAAAGTGGCAGCTTCTTCTTCCAGCAACTATCTCCTCTCAAAATGGCAACAGCACAAAAACAGTCATTGATGCAAGACCTTTTGCACTGCGTTTCAGTCGCAGGCACCAACTGTTCATAGTCAGATGTTGGCCAATCAGTATCGATTAGTGTCTCAAAATCGTAGATAGCTTCCGCAGAATTGATGTCATTTTCTAAACAGCCTTGTGCGAAATTTGGCTTGCAGCTTCCATACGTATTGTTCGGATCAAGTAAGGAATACCCTCGCGGGCATTTGCAATCTGGCCTTTTATAATCATTGAGTTTGCAAATGCTGTTAAACCCACAAGCCCCACTGCCTTCAGTTCCACGAATATCAACACATATATTATCTGGCTGTGACCAAATAGGAGTCCACTTTGTACCGTTATCGAAAGTCTTCGGATAATAATATTGGGTGAAAACTCCATCAAAATTCAGAGTTGCTCTGTGAAAATTTTCAGTAGCTGGGAACAACATACTTCGTGGTGTCAAATCGATTCTTCGGTTATTCCTTGTCAATATGTACATGAACCCTGTGTCGTCGAAGATCACTCGGTAACCAGAATTGGACAAATTGGAGGGATCATACGTGCCGCTGATATAGTAAGCATCATAAGCAAAATTGGTAGTGATGTCTCTGGTATTAAGGACAAGATTCCCATCCTGCAGCAAACGGAATTGAAACCTTCCCTGCGAGAAATTGGTCTCCGAAAGGCGAGAAAATATTACCCCACCGGACTCCATAATCTGTGTAGGCAACATGGTATCAGTTGGATTTTTGAAACTCTCCCATAGATTGACAGAATCGCTGCGCACAAGTACAAAGTTGCCCGTATCATTCATAAAACCATAAGCAACATTGTCGAGAATAGTCAGAGACTTCCACAATTCATTGCCTTGAGGGTCACTGAGCACTAGCCCTCTGTCAACAGTTAGGTCTAGTTTGGAACCAATTGAGACAGGGACACCATCGTACCCATACCAGACAATGGTTTGGTCTGGTATTTGGTGATACCAAATGGAAAGCAAGAAGAGATTCTTTTCCTCAAGTGGCTTAAACCCAAATGCAAAAACACCCTCTGGTGACAGCCATGGGGTGTCCTTGTTATTTGCAGTGATAGATGTGCCCACATCCACGGTACCATTAGTCCGAGCAACAATAGAAAATGGCAGGAGGAAGAGTAACAAGAAGAGGAAGAGTGGATGATGAGGTATAGCACAAACCATTGATTGATAGATCAAGCTCGATTTGGGTAGATGGAAATGAATGAATAAAAAAACAAAGACCAAATTGTTTTTCTAGGCAAAGGAAAAGACTTTAAAGTCAACCTGTACCTTTCAGCAAAGACTTCACCATTCTTACCCCTCAGAAAGGGCAACATTGTGGATCACTAGTATGGTTTCAATGACGCTATCGGAGCCACATATATAGCTGCCTGGACCATTAAAAGTACATAAAATAAAATACAGATAATTGTCATAATGTTGGACTTATTTTCACCTCACATGATACGCGCAATATAAAAAGGACGAGTTTGAATGGAATGACAATTAATAAAAATGAGAATTGGTTAGCTTGTAATTTCAAAGAATTAATGAGAAAAGCACTGATAATTGTCATAATGTTGGACTTATTTTCACCTCACATGATACGCACAATACAAAAAGGATGAGTTTGAATGGAATGACAATTAATAAAAATGAAAATTGGTTAGCTTGTAATTTCAAAGAATTAATGAGAAAAGTACTTTTATAATAATTGTATTGATTGTGAATTCATCATATCCATAGTGAATTAGGTATTAACTCGGCTATGAATCAATTAGTATAGTGAACAGATCAATACACATGTACTAAGTGGGGAGGATTAACTTTTTAGACATGGAAAAAATTTGAAAATAAGATTCAAGCCTATATTTTCTTGAATCACTAAATATCATGCAAAATAAATAAATAAATTTTTTTTTGCCATGCTCTCATATGTATCCAGGGGTTGTGATTGAGACCCCCTCAAGCCTCCACCCCCCGCCCCACACATGTGGGGCTTGGTGATTGGAGGAGAAGAAAAAAAAAAAAATGACCAATCAAAAGCCAAAAGGGGTAAAAGGGGTGACCCCCAAAGGGGGTCCGGATCTTTTTCCTGTATCCAGTTAGGCACACATCCTCAAGTGTGCAAATAAAGTATTAAAATTGTATTACTTTATATTTACACCATATATTAGTTAAGGGTTAGTTTGGAATGTTCTAAAAAAGTGTACTTTTTGACTTATTGATTTATATGACTTGGGTTTGGGTTGGATTTGATGTGATGTGTTAGAGAGGTGATGTAATTTAAATAAGATGATGTGACTTAAATAGGATATTGACTTCTTGACTTTTTGTATTATTTATGCCAAACTTGACCTAAATCTTCAAATTGATAAGTATTAAAAAGTGGTTTTTTATTTTTTATTTTTTATTTTTTTTATTAGTGAATTCTCAACATTTGATTATTTCTAAATTCTCAACATTTGATGGGTACATATGCAACGTTTTTGATCCTTTGATTTGACACCTTTACCAACAAAACCTTGTGCTCGTTGAATAGTCCACACGGTTTTTTAAGTTCAAAATTGAAATAGCCCACACGGTTTCCAGCTTTTTTTATTTTTTATTTTTTATTTTTTTTTTCTCCCATAAATAAAAAATCCCAACGTATCATTAAAGTATCACGACACATATAAAAATTCATTAAGAATGCAAGAAAATAAGAAAAATTCTACTTATATCACCAATTTAACTCTTTACATTTTTAAAATTCAATTTTTTTTGTTAAAGTACTGCTATTAACGCATGTTTAAATTTTTTAAACACCCTAATTTCTAATTTTTCTTTTATTACAATTACATCCTAAAATAAAATTACATTAAATGAGATAATTTAATAGAACACCCACCTACCAAATAAGAACTAACACTATACAATATTGTGCACCCACCCTCACCTCCACCTCTAACTATATGTATTCCACCTTTCTAAATCCTAAACATATTACTCTTCATAACCAACCAAAATAAACCCTAAATTTATTACTCTTCATAACCATCTTAAAGCTTGAATGTATCCTCTTTATCACCATCATAAACCCTATTGAATTAGAAATCTTGAACCAGAAAGCTCTTTTCAAGTCCAACGTATTACTTTTCATTAGTTATTTCACCTTGTAGAGCAATGGAGAACGATAACAACAATTCTGATGAGACTGGTTTTTCATTGGTAAGTTTATCTGTCTTATATTAACATTCTCGGTTATTTTCAATAATTGTGGTTTTGTTCAAACTGTTCGGTACTAGTTTCCGACTGTTAAGATTATGTTCAATAACATAATACTGAACACAAACATTTAGTTCAATAAATAGGTTTTGAACAGTATGCAAATAGTTGGTAATGTTGAACTGAATATAACCTTTATTTTCAGCACTGTGTTGAATGGTTCAATTTTTGTATCTTCAACACTAGATCGTATTTTTTCCTCTAAAACTCCCTTTTATGCCGAAATAAACCAAAAACTAAAAATGTTATAGGAAGAAAAGAGGCAATGCTATTGATAAGATGGGGAGTCGATATTTACCTAAGAGGAATTTTGGACGAGTTTTCTACGCTAAGTGAACCATTTTTGACCGACCTTAAGACTCAGTGATAGATACACAAAGTTTTCTACATGTTCACTTAGTGCATCTGTAGAAATCCCATTTTTCACCGATCTTAAGACTCAGACGTCATCGTTTGTGCACTCGGTGATTGCACATGTTTGTGTTCGTTTTGGGTTTCCGGAGTTTTCAGCTGATCGTCTTGCCTCGGGACCTCTTAACTCTCTTCTTCTTGGTTCGTTTTTGGACCATGCCTTGGTGCCTTTGCCTAGAGGGAGAGAGAGAGGCCTGTAGGCCACTTTTTTGTAGCCGTAGGCTACCTTTCCCTCTCGTAGGCCACTTGTAGTGGTCGGTAGACTTGTTTTCAGGGCTTCCGGCTGAGTGCCTTGTCTTGCGGACTCTTGTCTTTCTTCCTTTTTGGTTTGTTTTTGAACCAAACCTTGTTACCCCTTACTTGGAGGGTGGAACAGGGGTGTAGACCAGTTTTCTCCCCTGTAGACCACTTTTCTTCCTTGTAGACCACTTTTGGTGGTCCGTTAGCTAGGGTGGGTGGTCTGTAGACCACCTAAGGTGGTCGGCAGCATGCCACCACCTTCTCCTCTCTTTGTAGACCCCTTTTCTCCCTTGCCGACCAGTTTTCTCCCTTGTAGACCACTTGAGGTGGTCAGTCGACTAGGGGGGGTAGTCGATCGACCACTTTAACTGGTCGGCGGCATTTCTACACTTTCTGTAGATATTTTCCTTGCCAGCTATGCCAGCTGTTGGGCATAGAAGGCATTCTCTATACATGTATGGAGGGATTGCACCAAGCCTCTAGCTTGTCTAACAAGCTTGAGGCATGAAATTCTATATAAGGGGAGCTTCCTCGCCCTTGTTCAAGGTTCATAAATTTGATTAGGGCTAAGCATATCCCTCTCTCTCTATAATTCTCCCTCTCTCTATATATTTGTGCTATTTTGTGCCTTAAAGTGAGTTTTCTTCACACTTTTGCACTAAAACACCTAGTAAAACACCTTCACTCTTGAGCTAAGGTTCTTGGAGGTTGCATTTGAGTGATTTTGGCTTGGTTTTGCCTAAGAAGTGGCTGGTTTTGAAGTTGTTCTTCACGGGTGAGTAGTTACCCTCTTTAAGCCTTGTTTTTCTTAAGTATTTGGCCATCCTTGCATGCTCTTTTAGGCCTTACTTTTAACTGCAAAAACTCTTGTTTTTAAGTGTTTGAAATGTTTGTTTGAGGCTTTGTTTGAGTTAGGGGTGGTTTACCCCCTTTGGTGGGTTATTTTCCTTTGCTTTGTTCTATCTCTTAAGGCCTTTCAAACCACCTTGTTTTGGCCTTTTAACCATTGAATTCCAGAGGAATTTTAGTGATGAAAAGTGGGTTTTGAAACCCAAAATGGATGGGGGTGGTCCCCCCCATCTTTGTGTTTTGTTTGCATGTGTTGTTGGCTTAACACTTTGGCATGCTTTTCTACCTTCATAAGGCTCTATCTTAGCATGTTTTAGGCCTTATTCTAACATGATATAACTTTGTTTTGGGTTGGTTTGGTTGCTTCTTATATGCTTCATGTACTTGTAGTGCAATCCTCTTAGTTAGCCTAACATGCTCTATGCTTTGGACCACCATTTTAGCATGTTTTTGGCTCCACTCCAGCAGACTTTTACTCATATTTTGGCATGCCTTAGCTCTGACTTTGGTCGACAAAGTCACCTCTTGCATGGTTTATGCACTTGTAGTGCAAGCTTGTTCACTAGCCTAGCTTGTTTGGTGTTTTGGCCTATTGATCTAGCATGTGTATGCTTTAGTCCAACACATTTTTGGCTTTGATCTAACATGCTTTAGGTTCGATTTGAGTGGTTTTGGTCATGCATGCTTGGCTTTGCATAGCTATAGTGCATTTGGCTTTGCTAGCCTTAAGTTTTGAGACCTCTAGCATGTCATATTTGAGCTTTTTGCATGGCGTGGCATCATTTGGCATGTTATTTTAGACCATATACCTCTGTCATATTCTCGCATTTATCATCCCTTTGTTGTGTTTGAGGGTTGAGCCTTATGCTTCACTTATGAGCCAATATGTTTTGGCATTGTTTTAACCTACCTTGGGACTGTTTTGAGTCATCTTGGCCCTTTGGGGCTTGCTTGATATGGCTATGGTACAAGTACCTTAGCTAGTCTTGAGTTTTGAGCACCCTACTATGCTATATTTGTGATGGTTGCATGTTTGGGCATTGTTTAACATGCTATTTCAGAGCATGTACGTGTGTCATGTTCTCACTTCTTTCATTCCTTGAGAGCTTTTGAGAGTTGTGTCTTTGTGCATTGTTAATGAGCCATCAAATGAGCCTGTTCTCCTTATGTTATATGCCTTGATCTTAACATATTTCAGCCACTGTTTCGGCATGTTTGACCTCTGTCTGGGGTTGGTTTAACCAGTTGAGATTGATAGTGCATGCCTCATGTGTAATATGTTTCATTAGCTTTGATGCCTTAGCTTTTAAACATGCCATGCATGTATTGCTTACATGATAGAGTCTTGTGCATGTCACTTTAGCATTAAAGGTTGATCATCTTGTTTGCGTTGCATGTGTTTGGATTGGACGTTAATCCAAACACGAGGAATGTCGCACGTTTCATACTCAAAGTGATGAAACGTGTAGCATTTCTTGGTCACTGACCCTTTTAATCAAGCATAATAGAGGTAGAGGTCCTTATGTGTTATTTGTGCATTCATTCACTACAGGAATTTGGGGATTTAACAGCGTTTAATTAACGACATTT